TTTTTGCCTAATATATTTTCAGGAAAGGAGATGCACTATTGCCTCAGATTTCTGCAAGTTACTTGAGAATAAAGTAAGTTCTCATTGACTTCATTTCATTTTCGTTGTCGAAATAAATGGAGATTAAAAGATAATTTTTATGGTATTGTTACTTCTACATTATCCTCCATAAACATGATGCTTTAGTGGCATATAACTTCATTAGCAAATACTTTGGATATTAATAAATCAATTGATAGTAGATAAACGAAAATAGTTCATAAAGCCCCAAATATATAGGACTTTCGCAGAAATTCTATTTGTTATTTTTTTGTTTAATATTACCTTTACACTTATAAAAAAATAAGCCATCATAGCTGGCTTTTCATTTTTTTTGTTTAATATTACCTGTACACTTATGAATTGAATCCACAAGATGATTCATGGGATCTTTGAAGTGCATGATGTTGACATTACTATGAATACAAAGTTAAAAAATTGTCTTCTTAATTGTCAGATTGCCACTTTTCTCCTGGGGTTTTTGTGGTGTATGTGGGAGATCATGCCACATTTCAGTCTCGATTCATTTACCATTAATGTCTAATATATTCTTGTCATTTACTGTTGTTTACATTGTCGGTGTTGCTGCCGCATTTTCACTGTCATTTTACTAGCAACGCTCTTTTTCCCTAATGAATGGTTCTCAGCATCTAACAGTTCCCAAGATGTGTTTGCTTCCTCAACAGAATAAATTCTTGAAATGAATGAGGATTGTGCATCAGTGTTGGTGTCTATCAAGTTTAAAACAGGAAATGATTTTCCATTGTTGTGTGTTTTCTATCTACTTTTTCAAGTGAGAAGTTACAGTCTTGATCATTATTCTCTAATTGATATGAGTCTCTCTTTTTTAACGAAACATGTATTAATGTATAGCCATCATAATGTATCATTTCAGTAACCAACTTACATCAGATCTTACAGTTTAGACCGTTGTGAGTAGATATCGTTGTTTGTAGGCTATTTTTGAAACATGGTCGTATTGAAGCTGGAGGAGACTGAAAAGTTGAATTTTATCTTACTGTTTTTTGCCTGGGAAGGCAAAACTTAGTCAGACTTACTACTTAAGAACCACTATACCCTTGGATACCTTCGGAATTGCTACATGCTCAATCCACCTCTTTATTTACATAGGGTTAGCTGCATAGCTTAATAAATTTTCTGTACTGAGTCAGCAAAGTATGAACTTCCTGTTTCAGTTAAACTATACCGTACAATCTTTTTTCAAGCATGTTCGTCGTGTCATATTG